CACGCCTATGTTGACTAAATGCCTGCCAACGGATGGGTGAAAAAAAAAGATTGGAAAATTATATTACAAAACATTGTTATGGATCATTATATGAACTCAACATTCAACTGGTAGCCTATTCTCACTATATGTATATATGTCAGATAAAAATATGTAAATCAGCTTTAATTTAGTAGTAGCCTCTTTTTTTATTTGGTTATTTACTCTTAACTCTAAAAAAAAAGTCAATAATAAGAGCATTTCTGGACTGTGTCATTTCTAGTTAAATCTATGTCGGATAGCATTATGCTGATGATGTACCTAACTGGGAACTTAAGATTTTGAGAACTGACACTTTTCTAACCTAAACCAACCTTTCTCTTTTGTGATCTTCCATGTTGCATAAATGTGCACTTAGCTTCTACCTTTGTTACTGCTTGGACGCTGTTTCACTAAGCTCTCTTCCTATTGCAACAGTTAGTATCAAAAATGGAAATGTTCTGAAATAAGCACAATTACAGTACTAAGTGAATTGTGGCCATAAATGTCAATTTAAATAAAAATGGAATTTAATCTGCCTCGACTGCCAAGTTTCTTAGTCACTAAGGATTCAACCTTTTAACATTCTATGCAATCAAAACTCTTCCTCTTCAATATGCCATCTATGTGCTTTGCAATCAGTGTTTCTGCATCTCAATGTTCCTACATCAGTACTTCTAATTTTGTTTTCATTACATATATATAAATACAAGAATTGATATTCATAACTGAAAGGCATAACAGAACATCTTGTGAGTAATAGTTTTCATAATACAGTGTGTTGTAGAATACGAAATGCATTGCAAGGATATACATATATACATTTACTAGTTAGTAGGCATTTTTGCGCCATCTGTTGTGAATGAGTTGAAATCCAAAGAAAAGTTCTGAAGGTAGCCAAGTTGTTTTATTGATAGATAACTGCTGAGTGCATCCCAGCAAAGAGGAATTACATTAAAGCAATATTAGAACTGTATTTTTTTCCTCAAATATAATTGCTTTGTGATGGATCAAGGAATTACCCAGAATTTAAAAGTCAGCTATTGTAAAAAATTGTGAATAGACCTAACAGAATTTCAATCTGCATTTTCAATAAAAAAAAAAAAAAAAAAAAAAAAAAGCCATTTACAAGTTTGAAAATCATTGAAAATCCATTACAAATCAGACTCTTAGACAGAGATAGTAGAAAATTTTACTTTCAGTCAACTTTTATTTAGATTCATCCGATGAAGAATTGGGTCGTTTTGAAATACTAGAACATGGCCTGATAAAAATATTAAAATTTTCAGTTCAGTCAGAAACAAAGATGAAGAATCCAGTTCTAGGCTAGGAAAATCTGAAATAGAATGCCTGGATTACTTGTGATAAAAATTTGTCTGTAACAAAATAGGATTTAATTAAAAAATGTCTTGTCCCAAGAAGATGAAAAAAACATGATTTATAAGAATCTGAAAATGAAACAGAAACAAAAATATTTCTTAGGGTGATGTGGAGAAAGGTTTTTAAATATTCTTGGAATTTCATGAGATTATCTCTCTATGTACATAAATATACAGAAAAAGAGTTTTGGAACTGCGTTTCATCAGAAATAGATTTATAGAGAAAAAGAGAATTTTCGATGAAATAGAAATTTGTAAATTATTCAATCGAATGGTCCCATGCATCAAAGATATAATATTACACTTAATCTAGAAAAAATAAAGTTACTTCCAAATTCTACCAAATGCATTCTGAGCAAATTTCTGATATTTATTTTTAAAAGTGCTTCATAATCAGATAAGAAGTTTTACTTGTATGTACCTTATTTTGGCTTTTACCTCTGAAACGTGTTCTCCACCTCAAAATATTATATCATTTTAAATGTAGGCTTTTGATATTCAAGTCAATAAGAAATCTATATTTTCTGCATTTTTGGATAATTATTTCATAATTTCAGACCAGAAATTTCTTTTTCCATTCACTTCAAGGAACTTTTATCTTTCTATTTCAAAGACTGAAATTTTGTAAAGTTGCTTTCAATCAGATGAAAAAACTTCCTCTGATACATTTGCTTATTTTATTTTAACCCTCTGAGCAGCCAGGGTTTTTGCTACGAAAGCACAAATTTCCCCAAACTACTATGAAGCAAATTATTTTTTTGATTTTAATGTAAAAACTCTCCTAACATTTCATACCTGGATTTGTTTTCTTTTGATATATTGCTTTAATTTCTTCAACATATTTTAATATGCACGTATATATACGTTCTTACAGATATCGCAAAAAATATTCTAGGCCATACATATATATATATGGCTTTGCCAGTTAGAGGGTTAAGAAGCAAGTAGACATTAAAATTATATTTGGAAAATTTTAAATGCTCAAGATTGTTGGAGTATATATAAATTTGTGATTTTATTGGAAGAGATTAAATCTTCTTGAAAAGTTAGGATCTTTCAATGAGATCAGTAATAATTAACGTTGTATTTTAACGCTTTCTATTTTTATTCTACTCGTATTTTTAGCATTTGAGTTGTGGTCACGGCCTAACATCAAATATATGACTGTCCAAAAAACAGAGGTATTGAACAAAGTCAGTATCATTTGATATATTTCCTTAATTTCTTTGACATATTTTAATATGCATGTATATATACGTTCTTACAGATATAAAAAAAATATGGCCCTTAGAGGGTTAAAAGAAGTCCTCTGAGAGAGAGAACTGATCAACATAACTCAAATTAAAATCTATTAGCAACAAAAGTAGAGAATAAGCAAAATGTGTCAGAGTTCAATACTTTATTTAATTATTTTCCTGGATGATGATTTTTCACCAGATTTTTCTTAGGATGTCAATTCTATTGGATGTTTTATACTAATTGTCTCCCATATCTTCATATTAACAAGAGCCCTAGGTACAATGCTATTAGCACCAGGATGATCAAAAGATTCCTAGTCAAGATATTACTTTACTTCACAAAGATTATCAACCTCTTATTTAGATGGCAGCACTTCCTGGAAAGTTGGAAGTTGGCTCAAATCCGAAGCAGACATTCGATGGTCAGCCAACTATGTCGAGTTGTGGAACTCATCAGCGAAGGCTGCGGAATAAGCAAGTTACAGGAGGTCGGTCCCTGGATATAGAAAAGGCCTTCGACCATGTATGGCTGGACGCACTCATTTACAAACAACACAACCTGGGCTTCCCAGGCTACATCACAAACATAGTTAAATCCTACTTAACCGGTAGACACTTTGTCATTCGTGTCTCAAACACACTATTAACACGTAGGGCAATATTTGCTGGGCTGCCCCAGGGAAGTCTGCTTGGACCCACTTTATTCAATATTTACGTGAATGACATTCCACCACACAGAACACAACACTTGCAATGTATGCAGACGACAATGCGATCCTCTCACATAGTGCATTCATTAGGACAGCAATACAATGACTACAATACTACATAAACATACTCGAGACTTGGCTGACAAAATGGAAAATCAAAGTTAATGCAGATAAAATTCAAGCAATCCTTTTTACCAAGAAGAACAAATTCAATAAAAACCTGCAACTTTACGAAGAAGATATCCCATGGGCCAAGCAAGTCCTTTATCCTAGGGTGATCCTCAGTAAAGCTCTCTCATGGTACCCACGCATAACATCTATCTTAAAAAGTTTCAAGTTAGTAAAGCTACACTTCACCCCGTAATTTCTCGAAACAGTGTATTTTCAATAGATAACAAGTTGCTTATTTATAAAACTGTATTGTGTACCATACTATGCTATGCCTGCCCGGTTTGGACATAGTCATGCAAATAATGTAGGAAAAAGTTACAGCAGGCACAAAAATGTGTCCTAAGACAGATCACCAACTTGCCCTGGTATGTTCAAAATCAAAAACTTCATGATGAATTAGGCATTGAAGAACTGAAATATTTTTATTGCCGGCTTGCTTGGAAGTTTTATGCTAACCTCACAAGTATCAACAGCCCTGTTATAAGGGTCTATGATTATGATGTAAATGATCCAAATAATTGTAAATGGCCTTTGGCATACTTAGTACTCATATTGTTTAATTTGAATTACTTTACCTGTACTGCATAACTTATGCTATGATTTAAGTGCACCAGTTGACTCACACTATCTGTGTTGTATGTATTATATGTATCTCTAGGACTCAGGTTAAAGCCAGCTCTTTTTCCCTTTCTCAGCTCTCCCAGATGGTACTTTCAGGTCGTTATTGGAACTCGGCGCACACTTTAGTTCTGCTAGAATATCTTATTAGCCCAATACTAAAAAATATGATCATAATTTATTAAAAAATATTATATCTTATGTTAGTTACTCATGACAGCATTCGAAACAACCTACCTGTTCGACAAGGGGTAGGGTCCTTGACTCAGGCACTCTGGTGTTACATCACTTCTAAGTGTGACGATCTTCATATTCTGACTGAAGGAGAGGGAACAACTCTGGATATTTTAGCCCTTTTTATTTACTTATTCTTGATTTTGAAATTATATTTGACTTTGTTTATTCTAACAGCTTTGCAGCAGATTACTTCTGAAAAGAATTTTATATTTATTTTTCATTGCTGGCCTTCTTACCAATGTGTAAACCAACCTTTTAAATGTTCTAAAATATTTTTCAAAAATTTTTCTTATAATTCTGCCAGAATAGCTGCGTTGTTGAAAATGAGCCCTGATGCAGAGCTACAATTTAAAATAAACCTTCTAATTTTTACATTAATTGCAATATCCATATTTGAAAGTCTCCCCCATTTTCTTCTAAGACTAGCTAATTATGAAGGATAACAAATTTTTATTGGAACTTTTTACTTTATCACATTACTTACAGCAGAAGTTAGTGCCTAATCAATTAAAGTTTTTATTTTAAAGTTGCGTTTTCTATTTTACAACTATTAATGCATTTAATAAAATAGATAGCTAACATAAAATTCGCCAAAATATAAACTGAAAGTACACTGAAAATTAAAAAAATTCAGCTAAGAGATAAATTTTTATTACTGCTTACCATAATAAAAAATATAAAAATAGCTTGTTATCTTAAGTGAATAATACAATCTGCATTTGAAAAATACCATACAATGAGCACTTTCTAACAATTAATATTTCCTATTATATCCACACATCATTTATAATACAAATAGGCTTTGCTTATTGCAACACAAGGGGATATACTTAGTAATATTTATTTTTATACAGAACGATTATACATCTTCTTCTTTTCTTTGTAAAACATGTAAAGAAGTCTCATTCCTATTAGAAAATGGCCAAAACAATATCCCAAAACTGATCCAATACAGCAAGTAATAGGCCAAGTTTGCCATGGACGATCCCAGTCCAAAGGTATAGGAATAGCACCTAACCAAGCACCTACTATAGTACATATTATCAACTGTTGAAGATGAATTTCGATTAGATTATCACACCTAGGAAAAAGAAACAAATAATTGCAGTTTCCTTTAAAAATGTATTAATTGTTTATATACAAAAATATAATATGCACCATATGTAAAATATACTAAACATAAAAATATATAACATAACAATATAAAATGGAAACAATTTTTGCACATTTTATATAATTAAAAAATTTTCTAATTTAAAAAAAAAAAAAAAAAAAAATCTGATGTGGACACCACATGACTTTTTTGTACGGTCTATTAAATTATACAGATTTTTTCCCTAAATTTCATTTAAACTTATTTCCTTGAAATTCATTGCAGATATTTTTCTCACTCAATCAATTACTTTGCATCAAGGCAAAAATACATGATTTTTTACATGAAGGTCTTTCATTAAACATTGTAAAATACAGAAAAACATAAAACATCAAATACAATTAAAAACAGCAGCAAAAAGACACTGAAGATAGTGCACCAACTGACTTAGTTTACAATTTTACTAAGAGTTTCAAATGTAAACAAATGGTGAACTCGGACCAAATAAACTTTTAAATTGTTGATAATTCTACAACAATTGCATGCAGATTAACTAAAGGCATAGAAACCCTAACTGGAACATAATAACAACATAATTCAATCACTTTTAAAGCCAAAAATGTACAATGTACCAGCATATAAGAATTAAAAAAAAACTGAGCTCACTGAGATGGCTAACAAAGTGGAGATATACACATATATACACAAACACATTTGGTGCGGCCAATTGCAACCAAAAAGGGAGGTGCACAACTACATGCTATAGCAGTTCCATATACAAAGTTTCAACTTTCTAAGGCTACCCATTTTTTAGTTATGCAAGATACATACATATGCACATACAGACATCATGGAAAATTCCCTTCTGAATCCATTTTAAATGCATTTTAGAATCCGTTTTGGGAAAAGAAATCTTTTATTTTGTCCGTATGTACAGATGCCATGCCAAAAATCATTCAACAAATGCAAGAGCGGTCAAAATGGATATTTTTGTCGAAATAATATAGCTAAAATCTTTCACAATAACAATACTTCCTTTACTTTGTACAAGGAAGTAAAAAAATTATATTTCAATTTAAAACTTGGAGAAGTTACTTTAGCTGATATCTAATAAATGTTGTCCTTAAAAGAAAAATATATTTGTTGCAATTTTAGTAGACTTAAATCACAATATCACCTCATGACAGCCCTCAACCCACCATTCTCAGTTTTCTGGAGAGAATAAAATGTTCAGTGTTTAGTGTTTATCTAAGTTAATTCTCGAAATAACCCTCTCTCATCTAAATCTGCTTTGATTTCTGAAGTATTATTCAAACATTTTTTGTGAAATACATGGAAAAAATGCATATTGAGATTCAAGAGTTTTAATTATGTACTTTATTTAATAAATTTTATTTCTACCATGTTAATAAATATGCATATACTTTTAAAAGTGTAATCTTAAATTTATTTTTCATTAAATACAGATTTTAAGTTTTGATTTAAATAAAAACTTTTCATACTAAAATTTTTACTGTGTTCTTATATGAAGAACTTAAGAGATCTGAGATTTCAAAGATTCAAAAACCTTTGAGGATTCAGATTCAAGCAAATTTAGTGTTCAGTAAGTCTCTAAAAGAATCAATAATGTCAACAATAAGTCTATGCTAATTTTGATCACATGCTGACCTCACTGATGGAGTCTATGTAAATTTTAGTTCAAACTACTGCAGTTTTGGTTAAATGACACATTTTGCTGTAAAAGCTAAAATTTTTACACAAGCCAAGAACAAACAAAATACTAACTATTTATTTAGTCTTAGAGAAAATAATAATACTAACAATAATCTAGTTCTGTAACAAATAAAACTGCTCTTGAGAAAAATATCAAAATTACATGATATAAGCCATTTTACTCAATGAAAACAAATTACCAAAAAACATTTATTTTAGAATTTAAACAATATATGAATAATGTTACATTGAAAAATTTTTTATATCCAGCATGTCTATAAATGAGAATTTTAAGCCCTACTCATATATTCAAGATTCTCTGAATAACTCGTATTTTTCATTCTTTATACGTATATCAGCATTTTTCTCAAAAATAAGAGATTCCTTTAAAAATTTACATGCATAACTAGCTGTCTTTAGCACAAAATTAATATACTATACCCAATTATTTCCTGATAATTTAACTGTTATAAAAGCCGTAATAAAATACTGGGGAGGGGATTTCCAGCAAAAATGTCGGGAAAAAAATCATAATTGGAAAAGCTCAAATAACTAGAATATTTCAGAACTTTAAAAACTCCTCCTCCCAAAAAATTAAGAAATGAGAAACACGTAAAATTATTATAAAACATAGGACACTGTTGCCTAAACAGAGTGATTTAATCCCAATAGATAAATGTGACATCATAACACAATCAAAATCTTTACTTTGGTTTCATGTAAAACCTGATTAATTTTTGAGGAGCTAGTTTAGTTTTTGTAAAGATGGGTAAAGATGGGATTAATGACTATTTATCTGATTTTCCCTTATATTTTGAAAAAATTATTAAAATTTGGGACTTGACTTTTCTGCATCCATATAGAGTAAATAACAACACTGACATGATGCATAAAGTGCGAGAATGCTTCTACTTTTCTATAAATGGAAAACAACAATGAAAAAATGCATCACAGGGTAAGAAAATGATTAATAATAACTTAATAGATTACCTTAAAAAAATTTTTGATAAAATTCACATGTAGCCAAGTTATACAAAATACGAGTCTTTTGAGTAAAATTGAAATTTCCTTTTAATGGACCACTTATTGCATCCACAATAAAAATTAAAGATCTGAAAATATCAGGCAGATAGTCCAAAAAATACAATTCCTAAATTATTCAGATTTAACAGAATAATGAGAGGTAAGATTCAAGTATGTTCAATGATATTAATTTTATAAATTTAAATTATTTTAATTACAAAATTTAGTTGCAATGAAAAAAGTTTCAACACATTTGCTTTGTATGTTCTAGCATCTACAAAATAGGGAAAACAATATTTATCTTGCAGATTTAGAATACAAAATCTGATCTTATATTTAAACACTTGCTTCAGAATTTCTAATACACTGATGTTTAAAATTAAGAGAATTTATACATTTTGGTGAATTTTTCAAAAAACACCATATAGAAGGTACAATTTATCCTTCCAAACAAAAATAATACAAATTTTTAATGTGGAATGTGTAAGAAGAATACATGCGCGTGCGGGCAAAATATTTAGAGAAAAGCTCAGGAAAAGTGCATGTGATATTTTCCATGTTTCATTTATTCACATTTCTCAGAAAATTTTATGGTGTATTTTGCAACATTTATCAGATGAGTAACCAACAATACCGGATGACAGAACGACTGAAAAACTGTTGGAAAACTTGAAGCAGAGCAGTCTCAAGAGTAGACTAAAGACTTAAAACTAAAGCCCATTATCATGCACAACTTACAAAAATAGTTTACGGATAATAGATTCAGTAGAGAGAAAGACTGCAAAAGTTTGCTGAGGAGTGATTATGGCCAATGAAGATCAATATTTGCTTTAGATACCTATGTTTGCTTTTCAGAGGTGCAATTGGCCTTCACTCCATTTTTATGGACAATAATGCTTGGTTATTATGGCTAAACCAGGGAAAAGTTTTCTAGAAAATAAGATTATTAACCAGCCAGATATTCAGACCTATGCTTTGCTTCAGAGTACATACAAAATTATGTTATTAAAGGAGATTTGTATGATTATTAAAGGTTACTCTACATCCTATTAGCCTCCTTTTTGGGGGTTTGATCTTTCAACCTCTGCTTTAGACCTTCCTGTGCCAATTAGCCTTATGCACGATCATAAGCATGTGCCATGACTGTTTTTTGGTATCTTTTTTCCTGCATTACATCAATTTATTTCTAACAATAAGAACAAGAAAGATTCAAGTTACATAGAAGTAGAAACAAGGATATCTTAATTAGATATTATAATATTAATATTATTATGCATTTTTACTGGAATGTAGGTTTCCTTTAAACAAATAGTATTATGATAATTAGTTGTAATTTACCCATGACTACTTTTCATTTGTTTTGTTCTTACAGTAGGCACATCCTTCAAAAATTAAGTTATTTTCATAACTTTCCCCTCTTGATTTTCTGATAATAAAATTAATAAAAAAAGAGTAAAAATACACAAGGAAATTTAGTACTTCTAATTTATTTTAAATCATATTCATTAATGATTAAACAGTAAATTAGGAACGACTGGTTTTTGAATGAAACAAAAGTAAAGAGACAAAAGTAAATACATATTTTATAATAAAAATAAATCTCAATATACTGTATGCAGAAATACTGAATTAAGAAATTTCTGTCAAAGAAATTCATGCATATTTCTCGGCAAATGATGTTAAAATACAGCTGTGTATAAGTAATGCAAGACTGAAAGTCGTTAAAAAGATCATTCATTACTTGAAAAAATATGGATATGTAAATGTTGTTTTGAAAAAAAAAGTATAAATTTACGTTTTGAGACACGTAAAAAATTGCAGCAAAAATGTATGCACAAAAGCGCCAAATCTAGCAAACGCGCCAAATCTAGCGTATGGGCTGATTTCAGATTACATTCTGAAGTTTACATAGTTCTACATTTCTTAAGACGCCATTGAAATACTATTTTAATTTTTAAATCCTTTTTTGATATCCTATGGATTTAACAATTTGGGAATTGCCCATTACGAAAAGTCTGCAATAGAATTTTGGGAAAAGTGCAGAATCGCCCACTGCTTGACGTGTTTTTAAGAATTGCACATACTCAGTATCCATGTACACATCGACCTATTTTCAATTCAGGACAAAAAAAAAAAAAAAAAAAAAAAAAAACAGAATTGCACGAAAATGGAACTGCGCACACCCTTGACTTTATCTATGTACACATCAACCTATTTTCACTTCAAAAGTAAAAGAAAATTGACAAAAAACC